AAGAGGGGAGGGCGGGGAAGGAGGGGCGGGGGGGGGGTGTCTGTGACAGTTAAAGCCATCCGGCAGCTCCTGGTGGCACGAGACCCTTAGAGACTAGCACCACCTAGGAGCACATCTGAGTGGTGCCCGACCCCCCGCAGCCCTTCAGAGAGAGAATCTGCTTTGCCGAGATCTCGCGTGATTGTGTGCACAAGCCTGGTTGAGAAGCCTCATGCTAGATTCCCCCAGAGCCCGCGTTTCTGCCTTTTCCAAGCTTTGGGAAGAGCGTGGGCAGGTCTGAGACCTTTCTGGGAAGAACATCCGAGTATTACCATGCACTCAGGGCGAACCGCTTTTGTTTGCACCATCTCCCTCTCTGGTCATGCACAACCAAGCAACTGCCTCCCTTTGGTGAATAGGAAGCTTGAAGCAACTGTTCCCAAGTATCTGAGAGGGCCAAAGGGGAACTGTGCGTGGAGGGGCAGGGACCCAGAGCAATGCATGTGTCTGGCCCGAGGGTCCCAAGCTGCACCAGTTCAACTTTGAACCAAATAACTCTCCTCCCTGTCATGGGTTGCATTCAGTCTAAAGTGTTGGGCAAAGAGGCTTCACAGCAGACTCAGCCTCCTGGACAGACGGGGGAAATGAGTACCTCCTCCAGGAATAGAAATGGCACAGAAGCTCCATGGGGCGTCTAGCTCACCTCTCAAAGGAGCCCCATAACCACAGACCACAGCCCAGACGCGGAAACACCAGGGAGGATTCTGGAACCCACTGTCACCCCCAGCTGTGTCCCACTGGGAGCAGAGGGAAGCTCTGACCACGCGAAAGACGTGTGTGCAGTATGGGGGTGGGAAGGGAGGGGCAGGCAGCTGCTCTGGCTCTTCGGGAAGGCTGGAGGGGGAGGCCCATTGAGAGAGCTCATTGCAAACACATCCTCAACTCTGGGTTCAGGCTCTGTTCCCTGGAGCTTGTTTCTCCACTGCTCTGTTGCAGAACAAAAGCTACAAGGTATTTGGGCCAACCCTATGGCCTAGTGGTTAAGGGAGCTGGATCCCACATGGCTAACTGCATCTGATTCCCAGCCCTGCTGACTTGGAAAACATGCTTGCTGTGTGTGTGTGTGTGTGTGTGTGTGTATGTGTATGCGGCTGCACATACTTGCTCAGAATTCCAACAGGATGGAGAAGGCATTGTAGCAAGACCATGCCCCACAGTGTGTGTGTTGTGTGTGTGTGTGCGTGCGTGCGTGCATGCACGCAAGGTGCAGGAGGTTGGCAGGGGGTGGTGCTTTCTCCCTCTCCCTGTCTGTCTTTGATGAGCACATGTGCCCTCTGGCAATTTAAATAAACTAAATTTTTAAACAAGGGGACTAACAGATGGTGTAATGGTTATGTCGCTGGACTCTCACATATCTGACCGCTGTTGGAGTTCCAGCCCTGGCAGCTTCAAACTCACACTGGGTGCATGTGTGTGCATGCCTAAAATCCCGAGGTGAGACTGGAGAAGGTACTGCAGCATGGCCATCCCCCAAGGGGGGTGATTTCTCACTTTTTGTCTCTCTGTGAGCACACGCACCCTATAAAAAAAATAGTCTAAAAAAAAAAAAAAAGGAGAGAGAGAAACAGACAGACAGAAGAGGCAAGCATTACGCCCAGATTCTAGTCTATTTGGATGGATAAGGATGATCTCATTGAAACAGGGAAAACAGGAGGAGTGGCTGGTTGGGGGGATTTAAAGACGAGATCTCAGTTCCACACGGGACATCTGGGTGGCACCCTCCGAGCAGCAGCTGGACAGGATGCCTGTGCTCAGGGGACATCGGAGCTGGAGAGCCTGAGGACCACCCGCACTTCGAGGGCACTGAAGGAGGTCCTGGCGGGGCGTGTGCAGTGACGGGGGAGGAGGGCCGGGGCAGCCTCGCCTCCAAGTGACCCACATTCACACCAGCGCCAGCTCCAGCGTGAGAGTCGACAGGCAGAGCTCCGCTCCAGCTGGAAGGACTCCCTGTGACCTCCCGGACCAGTGTGTGGCGCAAGCCTTCGTGAGGAGGGGCCCGCGCCCAGGGCTCAGTGCTGGGAGCTGAGGCACGGACTCACTTGTCAGGGATGGCTGCCACGTGATTGAAGAGCTGCCACGGGATGCCCTGCAGAATGGCGTTCCTGAAGCTGGCGCGGCTCACCACGTGGCCCCGGCCGCCCTCGATCACCACCACCTGGATGCCGTCCTCCGCGCTCGGGTACTTCCTCCCATCCACCTGCAGGGCCAGAGCCACACGGGCGTGAGGTGCGGCCCCAGGCAGCCCGAGCCCCGAGGTCCTCTGCCAGGGTGGCCTCGTGTGGGCCATGAAGACCGAGGTTACGGATGCGGCTCTTTAAAGCACAGAACCCACAGGTCAGGTCTGTATAGCCCTCTCCCACGGGCCGCTCTGTGGCTCCCCAAAGGGTATGTCCGCCCGGACCCTGGGAGAGCAGCCTTATTTGGAAAGGCCATCTTTGTGGGAGTGACTAAGTTACAGAGCCCCATGGCTCAAAACGATAGCCTCATAGTTAAGGGAGCTGGATCCCACATGGCTGGTTCAAATCCCTGGTCCAGCAGCTTGAAAAACATGCTGGGCCCATGTGTATGTACCCTTTAGGAGGGAGAAATGGAAAAGGGATGGCAGTGTGACCACAGCTCGCCGGGGGCTGCCTTCTCCCTCTCCTCCTCTGTCTGTCTGACAAGCGCAAGCACATGCACCCTCTGACAATTAAAAACAAAGATGCAGTGAAGCAGTCACCCGGAGTTTCAGGGTGGGCCCTCAATCCAGTGACAAATGCCCTCGTAAAAGAGAGGGAAGGGAGGGGAGGGGGAAGGGGAAGGGATGGAGGCAAGGGGAGACAGGCAAGCATGCAGAGAGAGATGAGAGACCCGGACGGACAGGAGAGCAGGCCACGTGGAGAGGCTGAGACGGGGATCTTGCGTCCTCGACCTGGCGAGGGCCCAGGACTGCCGGCAGCTCCCGGAAGCTGGAAGGAGCAGGAAGCAGCTTTTCTCGGAGCCCCCAGAAGGATCCACGCCTGTCCACACCTAGATATCTCACTTTCTGCTTCCAGAACTCTGAGAGCCAGGCCCTGTGGTTTAAGCCACCTGGTGCGTGGTCGTGGTTACGGCAGCCCCGAGAAGTGAGTGCCGCTCTCGGGGAGCAGCCCAGGACCCTGCAGGACAGAGCCACATACTTCGATGTAAGAGGCGTCGTTCCACAGGTGGAAGAAGCGCTGCTTGGAGCTCTCCAGCTTCACCTCCAGGAAGTGGTCCTTTGTCTTCTGGAGAAGAAATGGTTAGGTGGCCGTCAGGCTCGGGTAGCCCTGCCTCAGCTCCCCAGTAACCACAGCCTCCGGGGGCAGGCAGGAGCCTTACTGGGTCACCCCGGCGCGCCGTCAGCCACTCACCAGCTGCGAGCCGACGAGCTTCTTGGGCATCGGCACGTCCACCACGGCCCTCTCGGCAAACCTGGGGTAGGCCGCAGCCGTGCAGTCGCTGGGCCCCGCGTTCTTGGGGATCAGAGCTTTGATCTTTATCCTCTCACAGCCTTTCACAGAGCAGAAGGCGAACTTCTCTCTCTCATTCTGCGCTTTCAGCTTCAGGAACAGCAGCCTGCAGAGGGCGAGCAGCACGGGGCGTTGCACTTCGCCCTGGACCTCTCGCCCTCCCTCACCCCAGACGCCCACCGCACGCCGGTCACTGTGGTTGGACCAGGCCTTCCGAAACGCCCCGTAGCTACCACAGGGTCACATGCAGCTGCAGAAATAAACAAGCACCTCGAGGGGGAAAGCCAACAGTAACGGCAACTGCTGCCAAGCACGGCCTGCATGCGACCCCACGCGTGTGCTGCACATGGAGGGGCGTCATCGCTCCCCAGCCCGGTCCCGTGGGTCTGCTGTTCATCCTGGTTTCCCGAATGGGAAACTGAGGCTCAGAGACGTGAAGTGACTTGCCCTGGACCACACGGCAGGGATTTTTCATCACATCGTTTTGCCTCTGTACTTGTTTATAATTTGTAATGCTTCGCTGAGGTGGCATCTGGGCAACTGCGGTAGCCAGAACACAGCTAAGACATCTTTCTTTTCAAATCTCTGAAAAATGTAAGCGGGGAGGCGCCAGCAGGTGGTGTGATAGTTAAGGTGTTGGACTCCGCCGCTGCTGACAGTCGTCTAAGTTTCAGACCTGGAGGCTTGAGAAGCAAGCCAGCACGTGGGCATTCACACTCAAAAGTCCCGAGAGGAGAATGGAGGAGAAGGGACTGCGGTGTGGCTATCGCCCCGGGGGGTGATTTCTCGCTTTCTATCTCTCTGTCTATCTCTGTCTCTCTGGCAAGTGCATGCGCCCCTATAGCAAAAATCTCTCTCTCAAAAAAAAAGTCCCTTCCCCTTTCCTGAAGGGTGAAATTCCTATTCACAAGACAGGGAAGAAACCTAAGAAATGGACATTAGGCATCGTAGGGGACAGGAGAGCATGAGGGAGCGGGGGCTCCACCGCCTTCGACGTGGAGGCGGAAGGCACCTTCAGTCCTGCTCAGGGTGTCTAGTAGGACGTTATACTCGTGCACTTTGTCTTTGTGATGCAAAAACTCCCGCCAGAGCTTGTCCAATTCTTCACTGGAGAATTTCCCAGAGGTCTTTGCCTAAGAGAGAAACAAGCCCTTGAGTGAACATCTCCTGAGAGCCATGTCAGCCACCCCTGGGACGGCTCTGTGCTTCCCTGAGGATACGGATATCCCTAGAGACGGGCAGGACAAGCCCAGGGCTATCACCACACACATGCGCGCGCACACACACACACACACACACACACACACACACACACACACGGCAGAGGGCACAGCTAAGCAGAGGCAAGTCTAGTACTAAAAAGAATCAAGGCACCCAGGAAGGCACCCTACAGTAAGCGGCACTAAGTTCAAGGTTGTTCTTCGGATCCTGGAAGGGCCAGGGGCAGAGTGAAGCCAGGCCACATCCCTGCGGCCACTCAGGGCCTCCTCACCCCGAGTCCTCGTCCCAGTAGTAGTGGCTCCTGCCGGGGTAGCTCTGCTCCACCTTGTCCATCTGCGCCGTCCGCACGAAGGTGCCCGTCTTGGACGTCTGCTTCAGCAGGCGGTTGTGGACGTCCGAGAGGATGGAAAAGCTGGTGCCTCGCGGGTAGCAGAGCCCCACGCGGATCCAGTCACCCCTAGGACCGAGGGGAGAACCAGGTCAGAAACGAGAATGTTCACGCCACGGGCCCTTCAGGGCCTGCCTCGGACAGAGACACCAAAGCGCTCGCCACTGAGCAGCACCTTCATTCTCTGGGGACTCTGAAAGGACACTCATGGCTGGTAGTGATTTAGTCAAGGACAGAGGGACAGAGGTGGCTGGGATGGGATAGCTGTGTGTCTCCAGGGCCTGCACGGGGCTGCTGAGACTGCCTGGGTCGTGGTGAAAGAGCACAGGGTCAGAGGGGCCGCGGTCCAGCCCCGTCCTGGTCCGGTGTAATGCTGGGCCTGTCGTGTCCCTTTGACTCTTATTTTCCACGTCTGACCCGTGTCCGTCTCAAGGAAGCAACATCCACAGGAGGAACTTCAACTGAAACGCACGAAGCCCCGCCCAGGGGCCCTGGGCCTCACCCCTTCACCTCGCAGAGCCTCATTCTCCTCTCTGCACAATGGACCAGAACTGCCCGGATATGTTTGCCATGGACCGAGTTTCGGTCAGGCCAGGTCTTAGGGAGTATCTGTTACCCATTTTCTCACTCCATCCTCCTGCAAAGGGAGCAGGAGGCCCACCTTAGAGTTGAAGGAACTGCTACTCCATGGGAGTCAGACGCCCTGCCCAAGGTCACTCATGCCGGAGTCGGGGCTCAGCCCAGGTCTCCTGATTCGTAAGTGCTGGGTGAGGTCAACCTCTCTGGGATCTCGAGGGATGGCCTGCTCCTGCGAGTGGCAGGCGAGCCCAGGGCTTGCTACAAGGCACTGTCCTCAGCCCTGCCTTGGACTCAGCCAGCCAGCACTCCCGGGGGTCGCCGTGCTCCTGGCCAGGCCCCCACTCACTTGTTGAAGTTGATGAGCCAGATGGCCAGCTCGGCGGGGGCCGTCTGGTCCCAGTGGATGGTGTAGCCCTTCTGCAGGGTGATGACCGGCTGGTACTGCTGGTAGTGGGTGCTCCTGGTCAGGGCGCCCTCCAGGTAGAGAGGGTGGCTGGGGAAGTCGTTCTTGACGATCTTCATTCGCAGGTTGCTGCTCTTGTAGGCCTGAATGTACATCTTTTAAAACCCGAAAAGGAAACACACAGTGAGGCGGGAGCCAGGGATAATTCCGAGAACGTCTGGTTAACATCGGCCTGGAGACCGCGCTTTCAGGGCGCCTTCTCTCCACAGAGCGCTTTTTAGAAAGCTTCAGGCAGGCCAAATAAGGGGACAGCTCTTTCTGCCGGTGAACACAGCCCAAACCATCCCATGCAACCCAGCTAACGCTGCCTAGGCACCTTCAGTAAAGAGCTCTGGGCTGGCCAGTGGCATCGTGGTTAAGGCAGCTGGTGCCCTAGGGATGACAGCTCAGTTCGGGTCCTAGAACTGGTGGCTCAAAAAAAGAAAAATATATGGGACCAGCAGTTAGTGTAATGGCTATGTCACTGAACTCCCCTTGTAGTCGACCACAGTTCGAGTCCCGGACCCGGTGGCTTAAACTCACGCAGGGCGCGTGTGTGGTCATGTCCAAGATCCCGAGAGGAGAATGGAGGAGAAGGGACTGCGGCGTAGCCATCCCCTCTGGGGGGCGATTTCTCACTTTCTATCTCTGTGTCTCTCTCTGTCTTTCTGGTGAGTGCACGCGCCCTATAGCAAAAACCTCTAAGAAAGAAAAGAAAAAAAAAAAGAATAAAACATGCTAGGGGTGTGTGTGTGTGTGTGTGCCCGAAATCCCAAGAGGAGAACTGGAAGGCGAGGGATTGTGGCATGACCGTCCTCCACAGGCCTTCCCACTGCCCCTGTGTCTGTCTCCAGCAAGTGCACGTGCCCTCCAGCAAATACAATTAAAAAAAATATTTTTTAAAAGTGCTTTGTTGAGGAGCTACTAGAGGAAGCTTGTGAAGAGCTTGTTTAATAGTCAATGTGGCCAATTTTGCAAAACTTTGGGAGTTACGGAAGAAGGGGGCAGATTCCTTGGAGTCTGCTGTAAGAACTCGCCTTTAAGCATCGTTGTTCTGCGTGCACTTGCGAGCTTGCCTGGGTGCGCTCCCTGCTGGGTACCACGTGGGTGTCGGGACCCACTGAATCAATGAAACGTGTCTTATTTCAGACACAAATTGGAAAGCAAGACTGTTGGCCACTGAGTCCCATGGGAGCCAAAGAGTCCCGAGGCTTTCGCCCAGCATGGATTTAGAACAGTATCCTGTTTTCTGACAGGTCCCCTATTTATTAGGTGACATGCCTGAGGCTGTGAACGAAAGTGACCACCATGGCAACCTGCAAAAGCACTGTGTCTTTGGAAGGAAGGGGTTACCCTCCTATGTAATTTTATCACATATGAGACGGCCAGACAAACGTCAGCCCTGCGTCTGTGGAGTCGTCAGACGCGTACCCCAAGCTAAGCTGTGAGTGAAGGCATCTTCCAAGCTGTAAGGTGGAAGGAGAATATTCTTCATCCGAACTCACCAGCAGCCAGTGATGACGACCTGGCAAACTCTAGCACTGAGCCCTTCTCTACAGCAGACAAGGGGAAGAATGGGAAGGAAAGTTGAGGCTTCATGGAGTACCTAGCCCACGAACGGCGACGCCGTGTAAGGCTGAGAGTGGACGCCAGGCGCGGGGATGTGGTCACCCTTCAACTATTCGGGGCACCAGTCCCACCTCTGATTCCACTTCCCTGATCCCTGCTACACCACCACGTCAACAACTCACTCCCACGAGCGTCTTGACCTTTGCCCAGTCTACACTTAGCGCAGGAGGCTCCCGCTGGATCATTTCGCAGGCCCACCTCCCCTCCCAGGGCTCTTGAGCAGGGCTGAGAAGCCCTGCAGCCTGGCTGGGGAGAGCTGCCTTTCCAAAGCACCATCTCCAATCTCGCCGGGTTTTCAACATGGCCAGGCGCTCCCTGTACAGGCCTCCTGTCAGCATTTCCCACCTTCTACCGCGGCCCTTGAAACCTTTATCGCCTTCCTCAGCCGCCCTTGCAGGCCCACTCCCTGCATTCCCAGCACATGACCTCACCTTCTGCTGCAGAAAGGCCCTCCGCTTCCTGCCCCTGGCCTGGCCTTGCTCCAGTCCCTGCTCCGGCCAGCCCCGCCCACCTCCCCAGGCACCTGCTCCCCCAGTTGCACCCTGCACCCACCTTGCCTCTGTGGCCCTTTGCCCTCAGCCTGGCACTAGCTCACTCTCTGATCTCTCCTGCCCGCCACTTCCTAACGTCCATGCTGGTGACCACGGTGCCTGCCTTGGGGAATGGTTGTGAGGACAACTTCATTCATAGATGTTCCTTAACCCCTGGGACCATCTGGCTCCCATGCTTCCCGCCCACTCCCACAGCACTCAGTCTCTCCAGCCTCTGTCCCTTTACTCATTGGCTCCTCTCCAGTCATGCAAATAACAATCATGGCTACTCATATCTTAGCCCCGCCCTGTCCAGGCACCTCTGGGCCCGCGCTGTCCCTGAGGGTAGCTGCGGCCAGTGAGGCTCAGGACCTAAAAGCATAATTTTATAATTTCATAATTCATAACACATGAAGGTACTTGGAGTACTACAGAGTAACATTAGATTGAATGTACAATATATAATACTGTTATAAAATAAACGTATTATGATTATATTGTATAATTTTCATTATCAGTCTCAAGACAGCAGCGCCAAGTATTTTAATTACCACTTTATTGCTTTGGTGGCATTATGTTGCCCTTTGAAAACTGGCATCTGTTTTTTATTTTTGTTTTTGCTATAGGGCACAGGCACTTGCAGAGAGAGGGCAAGTGAGAAAGCACTCACCCCCTCCAGGAGGAATGACCACACTGCAATGCTTCTCTACTCTCTCAAGACCTGGGGCATGCATGCACATGCATCTGTTGTAGTTGTCAAACTGCCGGGTCCAAGCCTCAAACAGTGCAGTCAGCCATGTGGAATCTATCTGCCTTAACCACTACACCACCGGCTGGCCCTGGCCTCCCAACTATTGGGTCATTGCAAGAGTCACAACACATTTTTTTGCATAAAAAAAAGAGACTTTTACAGTGATCCAATATATTGGGGGTTTTGAACAAGACTTAGAAATTCTCATGAAAGAAGTTCAACTATTATGCCAGTCTTACAGATAAGAAAACCAAAGTGCTTCATTAATGGTTTTTATGTTGATCACATGTATGATAGTATTTGGAGTATACCAAGTCAAAAGAAATACTATTAAAAGCTGCCCAGCAGATGGCATAGTGGTTATGTCGCTGGACTCCACATGGCCAACTAGGGTTCGAGTCCCAGACCCAGTGGCTTGAAACACACGCCAAGCGTGTGAGTGTGTGCGCGCACATATGCATGCCTAAGATCCCGGAAGGAAAACGGAGAAGGGATTGTGGAGTGGCCATTCCCCCTGGGGGGGTGATTTCCGACTTTCCCACCCACTGTCTCCGTCTCTCTGGTGAGTGTACACACCCTAAGGCAAAAGCCTCTACCAAAAAATTTAATTTTTCCTGTTTCTGTAATTTAACATGGCTACTATAAAATTTATGAATAGCATCACATATACGGCCAGCATTATGTTCTCATTGGCTAGGCGTGGTGATGCATTTGACATGTGTTTCCTGAAGCTTCTCCCCAAAACCTCATGAAAGAAGTTCAACTATGACGCCAGTCTTACAGATAAGAAAACCAAGGCTCTAAGCACACCAACAACCAGCCCAAGGTCACAGTCACATACTGAGTAACTTGGAACCTGACTTGAACCCAGGCATTTGACCCAGAGAGTTGCTTTTTCTAAGCAATTTGCCTACAAAATGGTTTTTTTTTTTTGGAGAGGTTTTTGCTATAGGGCGCGTGTGCTCGCCAGAAAGACAGAGAGAGACAGAGAGATAGAAAGTGAGAAGTCACCCCCCAGGGGGGATGACCACACTGCAATCCCTTCTCCTCTCAGGATCTTGGACATGCACATACACGCGCCTGGCCGCCGGGTCCAGGACTTGAACCACAGTCGACTACATGGGAGTTCAGTGACATAGCCATTACGCTAGCTGCTGGTCCCCTTACAAAATGTTTTCACGATGACTTTGTAAAAATCCTATTGGGTAAGGGGGGAAAATAAATTAAAGAAAAAAAATTATTTTTTTTTCTAAAGAACTATTTTATTCAACTTTATTTATTTATTTTAAGTTGACCAGAGAGGGACAGAGTGAGAAAGAGAGAGAGAGGGAAAGTGAGAAAGCAAGCTGCCTGGTCTGAGACTCGAACCATGGCTGGCCATGTGGGAATCCAGCATCTTTAGCCACCACATTACCTGCTGGCCCCAGAATTGTTATTATTTTTAAATTTGCCAGCGGGCACATGCACTTTCCAGAGACAGAAAGACAGACACTGAGAAAGCATCCCTCCCTCCACCCCACAGGTCGTGGTCACACTGTAATCCCATCTCCAGATCTCCATCTTCTGGGGATTTTGGACACATATGCACCTGAATCCATCTTTTGGGGATTTTGGACACATATGCACCTGAATCCAGTGTTTCTGTCTCGTTCTGTTTCATTTCTTTCAAGACACCTGTCTGGGACTTGAACTGTAAGGTCAACCGTGTGGGATCCAGCCACTTAACCACCAGGCTATGGGCTGGTCCAGAAGAATTCTGTCTCTCTGTCTGGCTGGCACGGAGCTGGACTTCCCGTGAGCAGTCACGAACACCTGCTGCACGAGGGAGGGAAGTGTCCTACCTGTGCGTAGCGCCCGCTGCAGATGGCCCCTCTCCAGTCGGGCACGTCGATGCAGTCCGGGTGCCGGACCAGCCAGTTGTCATCCTTGGTGAGGTACGAACCAGGGTACTCGGACACGGAGCCATCGACGTCATGGAACACGGACGTCTTATCCCCATCCATGTCCAGCTGGTTGAACCAGGGCCCAGGCTCTCCGAAGAACACTCTGGAAGTAATCTAAACAGAGCCCAGGAAAGTTAGGCTGGGCCAGGAGGTGAAGGGAAACTGCAGCCGTCATCAGCCAGGGCGAAGTTTCCGATTTCCGCTGACATTACACACCAGCCAAACCAAAGATGCTCTTGGGCACCGCAGGAAACCGCGGCTGACCTCTCTGATGGAGCTGGGAAAACAGTCAAAGGTTCACGGCGCCTCCGTCCCAGGCCCGGCTCCCTGGAGGGCTGGCCGTGAGGGACCTTGGAGACTGCCCTGCCACTCAGGCTGGGCGGACAGCAGAGATGGGGGCTGAGGAGTGCGAGTGTGAGCGGGTGTGTGAGTGTGAGAGGGACAGAGGGGGTGGTGTGTGCATGAACGAGGACATGTATACACGCATGCACGCCTGCGTGAGCGTGGGGGTGAGGCGTGTTTCGGGCAGACAGAGCTGCAGCCCGAGCCTGTGGGGATTGTCACGACTGGCCCTTTAGGCCCTCAGCGGTCTGAGCGAGGAAACTGAGGGAGCTGCCACGTTTCCCCGTCTTCCCCTCGGCCCGTCCACGCCGGAGCGGACAGACGCAGGTCTGGTACCCATCACTCTAAGGCGATGTGCCAGGAGGGCTGGGCCTGCCTGGTCTCAGAGGATGGCCCTTTGTCCCCATCTCTGCACCCTCGGCCCCTCTTCTGCCAGCTCCTCTTTGGCCGGGAGGCCCCTGTTTACACTCTGCTCTCAGGGCGAGATTAAACAGAACCTCTTCAGCAAAGGCTTCTCTTGGAAACTGCCGGGCGTGTTACATTATCTGTGCCAACTCAGGTGGCCCGGTCACAGGACTCCGGGTGTCAAAGCCAGCACCCTGGCGGGCACCGCCCTGGGACCTTGAGCCCAGCGCGGGGCCCCTGCTGAGGCCTGGGTGAGGTCTGAGCAGGGTGAGGGCATGCAGGCATCCACCCGGGCTTGACCTGTGGGCAACCTGGGCTTGTACTTTTCCAGTTGGGATCCAGAGCTTGCTGGGGCAAGGCCTAGTACTTGGAGGCTGTTCAGCCCCCGTGGCAGTGGTGGCGATGGCTCAACACTAGGCCCCCGGGGATGTGTGAATCACCACCCAAAGTCTGGGTTCACCAGGCGCCTGCCCTGGCGCCTCACTCACCGGGACGTCCTCAAAGGCGACGTTGGTCACGTTGTTGTGGGGGCAGCTCTGCCAGGCATTGTTGAGGCGGAAGGCCAGGGCGCTGGTGTGTCGGCCCTCCAGGGCCGCGAACTTGCGGAAAGTGCAGTTCTGGATGTTGATGGGGCCGTCATAGAACTGGATTCCTCTGATTGGAAAATTCCTACGGCGATCAAGAGGCCAGGGGTCAGCCCGGACGCCGTGGAACGGGCCTCTTCTGAGGCCGACGGTGGCAGACTGAGTCAAGCCATCCTGATCTCCAGCACCAGCAGCTCCCTCCACCCAGGCTGTCACTGACGCATTCACTCAGTCCCTGACACGGCGGCGGCGGCCAGTGAAGGCTGGGTGAGGAGGGGGCGGCACACGCGTGTCTCCTGCTGGCTTCGTCGGTCCCCTCTGGACGCGTTTCCCCTCATGTCTCCATCGCCCACCGAGTCACTGGGTAAATCCTGTAAATACTCGTGGAGAGGGCCAACACTGTCCCTGGGGGGGGGAGCGGTGAGTCATTATCGCCTTGGTTTTAGTTGCTATAACAATTTAATCAGATTAAGACCCAGATGAGTTCTCCTCTGTGAGTAACGCTTTCAATTAGCAGCGTGCTGGGTCTGGGAAACAGCGGGGGGGAAGGAGGACGCAGAATGGAAGGTGATAAAACTGTGGCCACGCTAATTGCGATCCAACCCATGAGGCATCCTTAGGAGAGAGGGCAGGCCCCACGGGGAAAGCTGGACTGCAGACGGACAGAACTAGCAGGGTCAAGCCAACACGACGGCCCAGCAGGGAGCAGGTCACTCGGAGCTGCGTCTCCGGTTTGCTCTCGACCCATGCGCAGGGCGTGGAAAGGGAGGGTCTGCCAGGGCCTGGCTGGGCTTCCTGCTGGCCTTATTAGATCGAGCCCCAAATCCAGGCTTGCTTGCTAAGCACATCATTTATGCTTAGTCTGGCGCCGCCCTCGGGGGTGGGGGAGCAGGTCCCGCCCCTTCCACAGCAAACCTAAAGAACCAACAGTGGAGGGGCAGTAGGTGGCATGGAGGTTAAGGTGGCAGGATCCCACATGGCCAAGTCTGAAGTTTGAGTCCCGGACCTGGTGACTTGAAAACCATGCAGGGCACGTGTGTGTGTCCAAAAATCCCAAGGAGAATGGAGGAGAGGGGATTGTATCATGGCCATCCCCCCAGGGGGTGATTTCTCACTGCCTGTCCCCCCTCTTCTTTCTCTCAGTAAACAAATATACTCTATAGAAAAAAAAAAAAGGAAGAAGAAGAAAGAAGAAAAAAGGATAAAAAGAGGGACAAGCAAGCAGAAAAATGGTTTGTCCATGGGGAGAGGCCATTGTCTAGGTGTCCCTCACCTTTGACCCTGGGCTGCCTTTGGTTCCAGGAGGGTTCCTGGAAAAGTCCCTGCCACCCCAGTCTTGACAATATCTTTTTGGTGGACCCCAAAGGTGCTTTGCGTTTCCATGTGTTCATATTTATAGCTGATGACTGGCGTCCCCTTGAATCCTGGTTCTCGTGGGATGGCTCCACGCGTTCTTCCATTTAAGGAGTTTCAGGGCCAGCCCAGTCTCACTGCTCCGTCCTTAACCTGCATGCTGACTTGACCTTCAGACCCACCCAGTCCTGCACCCGGAGGCTCACTATGATTCGGACCGCACAGCCCAGGCTCCTGCCTTCAAACGCACCGTGAGGACAGGGCTGTCAGGCTTCCATCAACAAGGTGGCCTCTGGAAGCTGTCAGCACATTCCGACCCTGGGAGGCTGGTCGCGCTCAGGGAGAAACCCTAACTGTGCAGCCCAGAGTCACTCATCACAATGATGCAGGGACGGCGAAGCGCTGAGGTTACCCAGAAACAAGGCCTTCCCCACGGCTCCTGGCGGAGGAGGCCGCGAGCCTGCCTTTGCAGAACCTTTTCAAAGACGCATATCCACTCGGGTTGGGAGTTCCAGGTCTGAGTCTGTTCTGCGTCCTGACCCTAGTGTCAGGAATTGTATTTTTATAGAGAAAGAGAAGAAAATTCAAAAGCAAAAAGGGCTGAATTTATCACTCGGGCGTAAGGGCCGCGTGCTGTTCACAAGCTCAGAGTCTCACTCCCTGGCTGACACCCAAATCTGAGCAGAAACAACACTAGCGTGGAGACAGTTTCCGAGGAATCGACCGAGTCTGTTTGCCCCCCAGGCCACCCGCTCCTCTCAGACACCTGGTTATCATCCAAACTCGGTCTGAACCCTTCGAACAGCAGAGCCGTGACTACTAGGACAGCCCTGACATGCTGCTGGTGAGTGGTGAGCACTTCGGCCTGCAGACACTCTTCCTGAACTAAACCAATTCTATTATTATTATATTTTTTTTGAGAGGCAAAGATTTTTGTCATAGGGTGTGTGCACTTGCCAGAGAGACAGGAACAGACAGAGAGACAGAAAGTGAGAAACCACTCCCTCTCCCAAGGGGGATGACCATGCTGCAATCCCTCCTCAATTCTCCTCTCGGGATCCTGGGCATGCACGCACACATGTCCGGCGTGAGTTTTAAGCTGTTGGGTCTGGGACTCGAACCGCGGTTGACTACGTGGGAGTCCAGAGACCTAACTATATGCCATCTGCTTGTCCCACTAAACCAACTCCAACCCTCAGGCCCATAGAGACTGAGTCTGGTCTCTTCGTTCCTAGGTGTAGGGCAGCCCTGAGAATGGCACGACATCTCCATGGAGTCCCCCTAGTTAAAGATCTCAATCTGCATGTGACATGGCTTCGGGACCTGAAGAGTGTTCTGATAGGACACGCTCATGCTCCCATCTGCCAAGTGGTTGGGACACTCCAAGTAGTGTGCCCTCAAAGAACAGGATTCCCAGCCCCTGATCTGGACGTGAAATTCGCATTAACACAGACCAGGACCACAGGAGTACTTTGCTGGCCAAGACAAAAATGCGTGACCCCAGGTGTCAGCCTCGGTCCTCCCCGTGCTCTTGCTGGCCACCAGACAGCAGGTAGTGACCTCCCACTAGCTCCTTTCCTTCCATCACTGTCACTCAGGCCACACACACACAGGGAAGTTTCCGTGGCTGCAAACCTACTGGCCTATAGGGAGGGTCCTTCCACTGTGGTCCAGGCCGCCGGGGCCCCAGATCCTGTTGTCCATCATTTCAGTCCCCACGTTGCCGCTCTCGCCAACGAACAAGCTGTTCTTTATCTCCTGCTTGGAGCCGTCGTCATAGGGGAAGGTGCCGCCACTGTAGAGAGAGGACGGTCAGGATAACATGCCCAGAGACCAGCTCCCACGGAGGGCCGAGACAGCCACAGTTCTCACCTGGCCAGGGTCAGGCCGATGCCGTTGTCTGCAAACCTGGGGACGAGAGCAGTCCGTCAGAGCATGCTCAGGTCACGGGGGGGAAGCCCTTCCCTTCCGCCAGGGTCACACTGGGAGACGGAGTCTCCGTATAAGCAGGGATTTGCAGAAGAAGCATGACTCCCCTGCTTGACACAGTATGGGATAGCCCAGGCCCTGTCCCTCTCTGTCTCTGACTCCACAGAGCAGTGGTGACCCAGTGGCTTTCGGCAGTGGACGGTGTGTTGTACAAGCAGCATGCAGACAGCTCTCCTTGCCTCCCCCTCCAGCCCACGTGGTCCATGAACCAGGGCTGCGCGGGAGCCTGGACTCGGGCAGGCACTGGTTAACAGTGGGGTGTGTGGATGCAGTTCGTTTCCCTCCCAGTCTCACTGCTGTTCTGTAACAAGGAGTATGGACTCATTTCCAAGTTTCCCACAGGTCAGGCAGACACTGACCTTGAGAAGTGGGGAGGTCATATGTGTGTGTGTGTGTGTGTGTGTGTGTAAGAGATTTTTCCCCCTAGGGTGTGTGCATTCGCCTGAGAGAGACAGAGACAATAAGAGGGAAAGTGAGAAATCACCCCAAGCCGCAATCCCTTCTCCTCCAGTCCACCCTCAAGATTTTGGGCATGCACGCACACACGCCTGGTGTGAGTTTTAAGTCGCCAAGTCTAGGACTTGAACCGTGGTCGACTACGTGGGAGTCCAGTGACCTAACCATTACACCATCTGCTGGTCCCGGGACAGGAAGCAGTTTTACAAGTGCACTATGGCACCGTGGGCTAAACCAATAGACTGTTCATAGGCTGTGACGTTAACTATTATGATCTCACCGTGCCCGCCTGGGGGCCCGGAAGGCCGAACGCCAGCGCGCCTCGACTGCTCTGTGCCGCGGGGAGGAGCGTCCTGCCCCGCGTGCCCCCACCACGCCCTCCGGCTCACCGGCAGCTGTCC